TATCTCAGCAACAGGTAAAAATCACATTCAGAAGGTAAAGCTTGTTGAAAAGCAATTTAATACGAATAGGCTGGTGCATGATGGGAACAGGTAACTGAGCCAATGACTCAATGTATCTGGTGACAAAGTAAATGTAGTGCAACAACTCAGCTATAATGCCACGAGTTTCAGCTAGCTAATGCCGCTGTTAAGCAAATCTCCTGTTATGGAGGATGCATCAGAACTTTAACCACACTTCTCACAACCCTAAATGCAACACTGCTTTTGTTTATTTCATCAGCAAGACTCAAACAGCACATACAGGCAGGTGAAAGAGAAGTGCAGGGAGCCTTTGGCAAACTCTGATTCTGGGGTTTATACTGCTGTCAGAGTTCATTCAAGTGTATTTAAAACAAACAGAATACGATGGCACAGTTATTAACAGTACTTTCAGTCTGATGGCTTCAGAGCAGTACAGGAGAGCTCAGGAAGTGTAAAATCATTTAACATTAAAAACTGTTACTGGTTATTTTTCATTCTACTAACACACAAGAAGCTCATCTGCCTTAAAAGACATCGGGTCACTGACCAGAGGTACTGACACCATGCTTTTTAATGCAGCTCCCTTTGTTGTGTTATTGTAATGTAGAAGCTGCGTGCAGGGCTTATTTACATTAGTTCAATCAAACACAAACTATGAATCTGGTAACTGGGGATTTAAACTGTGCCACTGATAACTGCTGACCAAAGTGCAAAGTGGAAGGATATTTTACTTAATCCTAATATTTGTTAGACTGGAGAACTTGTGCTGGCTCTTTCTTCCCCACAACGTAAATATTTTTGAAACCCATAAGATGTCACTGAACTGAAGGCTCATACCTGCTAACTCGTCCGGTTCCAGGCCAGTTTCTATGTCGATCCCACAAATGACAAAGTAGTGGGCGAAGCGACAAGGCGCCGGACAGGACACCGCGGAGCACCCACTCATGCCGGCTTCGGTGTGCAGCGCTGTCCGGTCCTAGTTCTCCAAGCAACGCATCTCCATTAAAATAAAAAACCTCAAAAAAATACTCCACTCAGGCAAAGCGCTTACCTGCGTCGGTTCCTGGTTCTAACTAAAAGCTTTGTAATATACGAAGTTTCTTTAAAAAACCGTTCCAGTGACAATTGCGTCAGCGAAGACTACCGACGTGGGACTGACTGTGCTGGCGGAGACAGCGCGGTGACTCTCCGCCTGTGGAGCTCGGAGTCGCTCGGCAGGGCGGGATATTGAAATGCACTCCATTCAGTCTTGTTGTTTCTTTTTGTTGGAACATCTGATACCTCTGTTCGCTCTCCTGTATGTAAACTGACACAGGCTACTATGGATTTGAGGATGAATAGGCTACAGTTATTCATCTCGTATTATATTTGCCATTACTAATTTTTCGCCAGGGGCATTGCAATTTTTTTTTTACTGATCAGTGATTATATGATGACTGAAGTAAAATATGCAATAGCTAAGACAAGACAAATTGTTAAATTAGCTTAATAAATAAGAATTCCACTACAAAATGTAAAAAGGTAGGCTATATAAGAACCTATAATCCAACACTGGTGTCATATAGCCTAAAGCTAAATTGTTACAATAAGTTTCTTTCTTTGTACAATCATGAAAATATAGGCCAACCAAACTGACTAGTTTCAACAAATGTAGTCATATTGTTCTAGTCACAATGACCACACTGGCCAGTTAATCCTAAAATCTTTCTCAATGATTTCTCAGTGATTAGTCTCAGTTACACTGCCATGGGTTGGAGTCATATTGATCCAAACTATTTAAAAGTGAAAATAATTATCAGCTTGTACAGTAACCAATTTTTTTATATCTTATATTTTTTCAAGTCCTCCTGAGTTTGTTAAATCCCAACAAACTAAAAATAATTTTACCACTCCCTATTTGTTTTATCATGAAGTAGGCAAGCACATTTTTAGAAAGAGAATCCAATCCAAAAATTTGTGTTTGATACCACTGAATAAACAGCAAAGTTAAGAAAATAATGGTTTATCTCTTTTGTTTGACAAGTTTTAAATTCAATTTTTAAATTAATTTGAAATATTTTTGAGGAAAAAAAGATAATGGTAAAAAATGTTTGTGGTCAATTTGAGCCCAGTGAAACCTCAGTAATACTAACCAAAGTCCAAGTGCCTTTTTACCAGAGTTCTCTTATAATGGGCAAACTAACAATATACACATTTACAGTACATTGTTACTTATCACAGGCAAACTAATTACTATTAACTACAGCATTAGAGGGCCTGTTGTCTAAAATATACCCTTGATGGTGGTGGTGGAGACACTGTCTAACAAGTCACCACAAAATCTCCCATAGGTGTTCAGCTGGGTTGAGATGTGGTGACTGTGAAGGCCCCGTATGATCCACATCATTTTCATACTCATCAAACCATTCAGTGACCTCTTGTGCCCTATGGATGGGGACACTGTTGTCCTGCAAGAGGCCTCTCCCATCAGGATAGAAATGTTTCACTGGATAACAGGGATCATTCAGAAGTACTTTATGTTGATTTGCAGTTATTCTTCTACAGTTTCTAATGGGAGAAGTGGACTCAAACCGTACCAGTAAAATCTCTTCCTAGAGAATAACAGAGCCACAGGATACCCTTAATGTAGGGGTCAAGCATTTTTCAGCCATCATTATCTTGTGCCTCAAAGATAGTGGACCTAGGTTTTTTATTAATTAGAACATCAAATCTTCTCCAAGAGAAACAATGATTAATTTATTTTTTAAGAATGACTGAAATGGTTCTGTTTTGACTTTCTTACTTGTTTGCGCCATCCTAAGAGAGGTAAGCAGTTTTCCTTGGGATTGTCAGATTCTCATGTCCCCCTCCCTAGGGGAGAATTCTATACTTTAACAATTTTCAGGGCCCTGATTTGTGCCTAACAGTGTATGTGTATGCTTAATGTCTTGGAAATCGTGTGTGCTTATATGTGTATCTGTATGTGTGTGTGGTTTTGGGGGCATCTGCAAACCCATATGAATGTGTGTGCACATTTTTGCTTTGATCAGTACTTTTTATTACTACAATTTACATCAGCCAGAGAAGGTTGTGGGAAGTAGGGGTGTGGGGGGTGCTGCAGCGTCGCCTGGAGGATGATAGAGGACCTGCATGTCTGCCACAACTACACATTTAAAACATAAAAAATAATGAATAATAATGCTTAATTTAATTTTTATTTGCTATGATTATATTTTAATAATATTTTGATCGTAGTAAGTGGTTAATAGTGGGTCTTGGGTTCCAAATTTTGGCCAAACTGCACCTGTTTGCAACAAGTGTGTGACCTTACTTGTTGCAAACAGGCACACAACAGCACAAGAAAATGGCGGCGCAAAAGTTATTTATTTAATTTATAATTTCATTATTAATACATAAAAAAGATCAAATCCTAATTAATCAGAGGCAACAACTGACAGCAGCACCAGCAGCACACATGATGTTAGCCCATGTACCTTATACATATGCATTCGCACGAAGGCATTCAGTCATTCATTTTCTACCGTTTGGTCCCTGAGCGGGGTCGGAGCCAATCCCGGCCGGCAATCGGGCGAAGGCGGGGTACACCCTGGACAGGTCGCCAATCCATCGCAGGGCTAACTCATAGACGAACAACCACACACATGCACGCACATGCACTCCTATGGGCAATTTAGAGACACCAATCAACCTAAGCTGCATGTCTTTAGACTGTGGGAGGAAGCCGGAGTACCCGGAGAGAACCCACGCAAGCACGGGGAGAACATGCAAACTCCACACAGAAAGGTCCCAGGTGGGGCACCCCTGTATTTCTGTCAGATAACACATCACTTCTCCCAGAAAACTGTTGCAATCACAAAATTCTTTAGTGTTCTCATGTTTATTTCTTTTGTTTGCATTGGAACAACACAAAAAAGCAGAGAAAAAACCCAAATCTGAAACATTTCACACAGAACTCCAAAAATGGACTGGACAGAGTTATTGATACCTTTTCAAAATCATCAGAAATTGTTGTATTTCGCTATGGGAAGAGACCCAGGGTGACCCCACTGCTGACACAGAAACAAACAAAAAAAAAAAAAAAAGCAAAGCCAGATTGGAGTTTCCCAAAACTTACCCGAGGAAGCCACGCTTCCTCTCGGGGAATGTCCTGTGGACAGATGAGACTTAAAATAGAGCTTTTTGGCATATCATTCTACTGTTTTCAGTGTAAATATCCACAGTGTGTAGCTGCTTGATTACAGACATAAAACATCGATGTTGTCAAAACCATTCTTCTACAAAGCTGGGGAAACGTCATGAAATATCTTGGTGAAAGAATAATGATAAATGGTTTTTAAACAGCTAAAATGGCTCTGGGGCCATATTGACCGTAAACAGGAAACAAGGGGTTAAAAAAAAACAGGTGAAAATGTTGACTTTGTCTGTGTGTAGTGTAATACTTTTATTCATTTTTAATCTGAACCATTTTTCTTGTCTACTAGAGTCTGTGTTATGCAGGCTGGGGACACCCACAAAATGTTCAATTGGGGTTATGCGGAACGTCACGTGACCAAACCGGAAAACGGATCCGCGCACTTCCGCTCGTACCTCAATGCGCGATGTCAGGGAAGTTCATTTCAGCCATAGGCTTTCACCATTTCCCTAAGGATGAAACCTTAAGAAAAACATGGATCCGTAATGTACGACGTGATAATCTTGTAATTAAGAGGACGACAACAGTATGTAGTAGACACTTCGTCTCCACAGATTAGTGTCATGACTATGCTAGACCAGAACCATCAGCCTTGGACATGGCATGTGAAAAATTAGAAGCCCAGCAGTTTGCGAATTTAGCATTTCCATCACACAAGCTTAGTTACGATTAGCTTTCTGGTAGTGTATTACATTATTTTGGTGTACCAGACAGATGCTCGGTGTAAATATCGATAACATTAGCTAGTTAGCTTACGAACTAGCTTAGCTACATCTCCGTTTGTAAGATAACCGATACATAACTCTACCTTCGTACTCGTGGATGTATGAAGAAGCATATAGCGTAAACCCCTTATCCAGCTTGCTGCCCGGTGTTTTAGACGTCGAACTGCATATTCTGTGGACATCCATGATCTTCATCTTTGGTAGTTCTTGGAGACATCTTGAGTAGAACAGTGCCATATTTCATACTAGTCGCAAACCGGAAACTGATGATTCTGTTTTGCAGTATACGGAAGTATAACCCCTATAGACGCTGCCTCCATTTTGAAAAAGATGGAACAAAGTCTAAAAATGTAACGGTATAGTAGGCAGCTCTCCATGTGTCTAAATGTGCTGATGATCTACTAATGAGTGGAATAATAAATATATGAACAGTAATATTTGGTATGTACTCCGAGCAACAGGGTCAAAGCAGGAAATGCAGCAATCATCACAGATAACAGTGGAGGTTAGAGACAAGTGTCCCACAGCTGATTGGAACCACCTACCAGGTTCAAATTATTTATGACCTTTAGTCCAGACAGAGCTATTAAAAGAATCCTTAAGTTACCTAAGGAGATGCAGTATGTCACGCAATAGACTACCTATTTTAGTGTGTGTGTGTGCGCACACTTGATCCTGTGTTAATTCTGTTTGTTAATATTTCAGCAGTTTACATTTGTGTTTCCAGGTACATTACCTGTCTGGTCGGAACCCTGGGAGGTCTTGTTCTTTCAAGAGGTTCCTGGATTCTTCTGGTCTGCGAAACAATGTTGGTCCTCCAAGGAGTGCCTTTTTTTTCTTGATATGCTTCATATTTCATAGATCAGCATTGTACTACATTCAAATATAAAATTACATCACACTGAAATGACAGGTCAAGGGATACCAAAAGTAATCTATTCTTTCAAAAAGGGGCCTTAATTTTCCATAGAGCGAAAATTCAGTGGTGGCTTTACTATATTGTATTTTGTTTAATTGGCACTTCATCCATTTTAAGGGGGTTCAGCCTTAAAACATATACTTAATGTGATCATCTATTAATTCATCCATTCATTAATCCCAATTCTAGGGACAATCTTCTATAATTTACAAAGCAAAAAAGCCACCCATACATTTGAGCTTTTAAGGAAATGATCATTTTAGAAAACATTAATTTTTTTTTATAGTATGTCTTTCTTGGTCAGTTTTGAGCTTTAACCCATAATCCAAATTAAAACATTAAAAACCATACAATATTGGATGTCCACTGCACACTTGATGTAATTATGGTTCCATTGTTAAGAAAAATCATGAGTGGGTTTATTCTGAATGTCTGCATTATGGTTCCTAAGGGTTTTTTTTTAAGAGGTTTACAAATGCTGTACACTGAGAATAGTTAGAAAAGAAAGACCCGATCCATTGTTGTGGCCCACTAACACAGAGCCTGTCAGTCAACCAAAACCTTTCCAAGATGGATATGAATTCCATATTATCTTATTGCTATATTGCATTTATATATTGTTACATTTGCATTCATTGTTCCATCATCACAGTACAGCCTTTACAACCAAAATCCAAAAGATATTCAACTATAGGAAGACGACATTGACAGGTGACGTTATATGGCTTAAAACAGGCACTGGTGTGTTCTATTTAAAGCGGACATCAACTTTAAAGTGCTATGACAATGTCCCCATCTAGTGGTGAAATAGTACTCATGAACCATGCAGCAGTAAATCCATTTGACTTTATTTTTCTTTTACATGAACATAAAAAAAAAAAACATTTTTAGAAGTTATGCAATTAGAAACTGGCTTTCAAAGTACAAATAACATGTAAAAGGGGGTTGATTAAAAATGTAGGTTTTTAATATAGAAACATTTCAAGTTAAAGCAGTGTTGAAGTAAAAAAAAAAATTCACAATCATCTTAATGCTGAATTTTCATACATTTTGAGGTAGTGGGTACATATCTTCACAGATGGCACCAAAACATTTGAAAATAACAGGAAACAGGCGATACATATGCTATACACAGTTTAGAAAAAAAAAAAAGTACAGAGCCAATCCTTTGGGGAAAAAAAATCAAAGTGAGTTACAGTGATATGTCCCTGTGGAACTTGAGCTGTAAACAAGGGGGCATTTTTCTTCTTCTTCAGTGATGGGGTCTTGAGGGGGACCTCCACACCTTCCCCTCATTGCTGAAACATACAATTTAAAAAGTTAAAAAAAAAACAAACAAAAAAAAAATTGCACTTCTCTCAGATGACAGAAAACTTGGTAACATTGCAGTTGTGAAAGAACAAACCACCAGAACTCAAAATCCTGGAGATTGCTGAGAAGTGTAGTAGTACTCTTAAGTATGTTATGACAGTGTTTGTTGGATGGCTTTCTGGGAAGGTGGAACAGATGCCTGAGAAGTAACACTTCCTGGAATTGTTTTTGGTATTAGTTTAGCTTTAAGCCAGGTGTCATTAGCAACGTGGTTGCTATTTCCAAGTTTTGTGAAAGTTTCCTGTAACCGACATCAGCATTTCAAGTTTTTTTTTTCCTCCCCTCTGAGATAAAAAAAAAAGAAAAAAAAAAGAAGAAGTTTGTTCATTCATCCTTTGAGGTATCTGATCCAGATTCTTGTTGATAAAATACTCTCAGGCTTGAATAGAGATCTGACCGTGTACCTTACATTTTCTCTTCACTGTCTTCTCATTAAGATTAGACTGGTAGCAGCTCTTGTCATAAATTAACTGTAAATTAACT